AGCCTCCAGCCGACACGAGGCCTCACATCCTACAGAGCCTCGGCGGCAGGCCGGACACTCGACACGTGGTGGCGACAGCGCGCTGCCCGCCGACAGCTGTCCGACATAATGCGCTGGCGAGCTCGGTGCGGCACGGTCCGTGCGCCTGCTGCGACCCTGAGCCCTATCTCGGCAGGTCCAATGTCCGCAGCTCGCACCGTTCTGCACGTAACTCGGTGCCACTGTCGTAACGGCGACAAGACCCTGGTTCCGGTCGGTGAGCAGGGTGCGAGTTCTGCGGTTCCGTAACCGCCCTGCTTGCTTGCAGCGCTGCGAACGTTGAAGTGGCCAGTGTTGATGGCATACGTTCCAAGCGAATCGTGTTTCTACTCAAGAATCACGACTTACTTTGAGCAATCCTCCGAGTCATTTGCACAGGTGGCCGTGGGCTCGGCGCGGATGGTAACAGCAGAGCACGCTTTGATCGCCCATGACCCTATATCACGCAAGATCGGTAGTTCGGATTTGATAGACGTTTCGCCCGGGTCCTCTTGGTTTTTAGCCGGCTACAACCGCGACCAACTTTCAGTGCAGCTGACTGTCAAAACAGGCAAAACGTGCGCGCTGATGTCATCAGAGTGGCGTTTTCCTGGTGATGCCGGGCTTCGAATGCGAGCCCGCACAAGCCCCTGCGTACACCAGCACGGAATGTGGGCAGCCGTTACGGTCGGCGCTAGCCGCTGCGCTAGCGCTAGCCCCTGTTGGCTGGCGCTAGCCGACGTGGCCCGCCGCGTGGTTCAGAGGCCCGGAGGCGTTACCAGACCACCGGGCGACCTGCCGCTTTCCTGCAGGACGCGGAGGTCGCACGGAACAGTTCCATAACATCCCACGACCTTCGGGCGAGACATTTTAAAACATTATAGGCCATTGCGTGCAGCCAGGTTATGAACGCGAACCCGGATCAGGCGAGGGGTCGATTCCCGTCGGTGGAGGAATGTTTAGGATGCCACCATGTGGGTGGCAAGTGGCAGATCCCAAGCGTGCGTCATCAAGATGAAGCCGAGGGCGGAGACCCGAAAGCGAGGGTGGAATGTGAGCAGCAAGTTGTTAGGAGTGCAGTTTGACCTTTCCGAGTCCGTGTGGACGGCTGACCGAGCCGTGCTGCCAATGCTGAAAATGAAATTACCACATGAGCCACCGACCCGATCTCGACAGGTTTCGTAGGTGATGCAGTGTCTAGGTATGTGTTTCATTTTCGCTTTACAAAGTTTATTTCAAAATGTGCTAGGTGTCCTCGTCAAGTGCAGGTCGGCCTGTCCCGACCATGCATCTGTTTCTGGCTCAACGCCCGGAATCTAAACGGAAGAAGCATGTGATATATGCGTATCTAATGTTCTTCGAAGCCTCCCCGACAATCCCCTGACCTTGGAGGCCCTGCGGCATCTGGAATGTCTCAAAAGTACCCTCGCGTGACAGGACTTGAAAACCAGTCGAGGGCCCGATACACAGCATGCATAATTTGTTAGCCGGCCAAAATGTGCTTGAACCATCAGCCAGGAATAGAATGCTTCGTAAGCTTGTTGCCTCCAAAATCCGACAGTCTTCCGTTGGCTTCATTGGGACCAAAACAGCAGTCTGCCCTGAGGCTGGTCAGAATAAGCCTTATGATGGGACATGGATATCCCTTGTGTCACGACGCTCCGATGTTGACTACTTTCGTGGGGGAGGGAAGGGGCTTGCCCGCCTATGTATTGTATCTCACAAGTGTTGCCTGTCAACCGATACCTCACTTGAACAAGATACGGTGGCAATTCACGCGCTATACTGTGTCTGAGCGACTTACTTCTGACCATCTTGACCACTTCGGAGGTTGGATTTAACCAGCTGGATTTGCAGAGCTGTCTTTTCATCTAAATGGATGCAATTTTATTATTCCTCTCACCAAGGCACTCCAAAGTTAACTTGGCTGCTTCTGACGGTCGTCACTGCCGCATCTCCGTGACGCAGCGGCGTCTGTTCTGAGCGTGTCTCAAACGCCCGATCCCTGCGATCGCGAGACCCCACTCACAAGTCCCGCTGGACCCGCCCCTGCCTCCTGCGGCTGCCCCGGCTGGCGCAATGGCGCGCGGCCCGACCGCACGCGTCAGCGCCCGGCCGGCGGGCAGCCGCGCGCCGCCCGTGACGTACATCTATACATCCGTCTTCCCCTCTCTCTCCAAACAAATCGTTGGACTGATCATGTGCCGGCGGGGGTTGCCCCGGGGAGAGCGTGACGCCGCGGCCGAGCTGGCAAACGTGATGCTGGCGCCAGGGACGAGTCGTGCCACCGGGCCGGACTGGGACCGCGGGAGGGGGGCGTCCGACCGCGACCGGCCGGCCGGGACGCCGCCAGCTCGCCCGCAGGCTGTGTACGGCTCATTGACGGCCACGGCCAGTCACGTGACCGAACAAGTGGCGGTTGTGACGATCGGAGGGTCCGCGCGACGGGACGGGAGCGGTTGCGTGGCTGCCGGCGTTGATTGGAGCCCCAGATGGACGACGGCTCCCGATGGAGCCACCGGAGGACAACAGCCAAAGCAGGCAGCCTGCCCGGTCGTTGACGAGCAGCGGCATGGCCGTATTGCAGCACTCCTGGAGCTGATAACGCATCGCGTGCTCACACGATGTTATCCGTGGACACACTCAAACATGACTCTTAAGCCGGTACAACTGAAGCGAAGGTTGCAGTGGTAAAACCGCCGACTGCATCGTGCTGCCACAGACCAGTGTTCTTTTTTGCACCTTGTGTAGTAACTAGCACCGGTATCCTGCCTTGTGACCTTGGGTGGTTTAGTGGCCTTAAACTAGCTGCGATTTCTACCGAACTCATTCAGTCAAATGAAACCATTTGTATTGCATACCGTGAAACGTTGCGGTCTGGTGATATCCCTGAACATGGACCCCGAATCGCACACCTGCATAGATATTCACAGCATATACTAACGAGCCATCCAGTTCGCACTTGAAATGAGGTGCACACAGGACTCCGATCTCATTGGGGAGTTTAACATATAGGGCCCGTATCCTGGACAAACCGAAACTCCTGCCCTTACTTTGGGGCTCGTGAGCGCTAAGTCATCGCCAAAATGGCAACCGACAGCTTGCCCATCTTGCATGCAGGATGGATGTTTCTCGCCTAGGACAATGTTTCAAACTGCCTTTGCATGCATAACATTCAGTGGCGGCGCCACCAAGGGGTGTGGGGGGGGGAGGGATGGGTGGGTGGGGGCGAAGGGTTGGGGCAAGGGAAACGCGGCCTCTTCATCGCTCGATAGGGAGGACAGTCCTCCTATCCTATCGACTCTCTTGCAGGACAAATGTATTCTTCACGCAGATCTTCACGTAGGGGCCCATCTTCCCAGATTTTACCATAATGAAGTTACCTCACATCGGTGGGATTACATTGCTACAGATCTAGTTTGATGCTTCTAGGACTCTAAAAGACCGCTCGTCTATTTTCCTCTAAACTGTCTGCACACCGGCGCCCGTGCACGTTGGGAAGGCGAAAGGAAGATACCCATTCGGATTATTTTTCCAGTCAACGCCTAAAGGGCCAATGTTGAATTTTCGGAAACTTGTGGGTGTTAGCCCCTGCCCCCATCCCGGTTCCCGCGCCCCATGCCTTGCGATGGCCCAGCTCAAGACATGAGAAATTTACATAGCAATAATCACTTGCGAAACCCTTTTATTAAAGTGTCGTAATAGTTGTACGCCCTCGTCCCCAATCAAAATTTGGTGGCACCTCCGCTGGTTACATCCTATCACGACCGTGATAGATGTAACCAGCTGAGAAAATGCTTTATGGCTATCATGCCATGCAACATTCGATGATGAGTTGCCGCAATGTTTGAATGAGGCTCCCTGGCTACCGTGCCCGCGTCAGCAGTTCAGTGAGCACGGCGCGTGCCCGCGCGGCGCAGCAGCGCGCCAGCTGGCGCAACAGCAGCGGCGCTCTCGACGTCGGGTGAAATGCCGTGAGGCCTTATGTGCCACAGGGATGGCTGACAACCTCGTCGTGTTTTGTCGTTTCGGAACTAGTTCATTGGCTCATTAACAAGTGAGTTAAAGCTGCCTCCTTTCATGATGAGTGGCATTCCGCCCACACCGTCCGTCCAACACATTGATGCTTTAGTTCCTGCGTATGATTGAGTGACACAAGACCTGGCACCTGCCTTTCATTTCAACGCCGACGGACTGTCAGTTGGTGGCAGGTACGTCAAGCGAATGACATCGTGAGCCGAAACAATAAACTGGCTTAGATATGAATCCATGGAAATCGCGCGCTTCAGTAAAAAAAAAAACACGGAAATACCAGACCACGCAGATCATCTCCAATTACGCCGCAACAGTGGCAGTTTGTGCTACAACAGGAGCCGTGGCGTTGAAGGCACGGCATTCGCCTGTTATTCTGAAACTCAACATTGTATGCTCGTTACGACCTGCGTGCGACGACGTTGGCACAAGCGGCGAGTGTACGCCACTCCATCAATGTTCGCGGTGCTGCTCACGCTGCTAACGTGTGTCGAGCTAGGAATATGATCTGCGCTTGTGTCCTGTTTCCATAGCACGTGACGTGTGTTTAGAATTTCGTGTTTTTACAACGCGTGACGTGTGTTTAGGACTTTGTGTTTTTACAACACGTGACGTGTATAGGTGTTTTCAACTCAAGACTTTCTAGGAATACTACGATGAGCTCTCATTTATGTCACCATGCCGCCTGGGAGAGTGCATTGTCGAGCTCCCAGGCTTTAACGCTATTTCCTGGCTGGCAGCAAACCGACATATTGCTTCCCCGTCTGCCGTCTGCTAGATGTCAATCATCTATTGGATTGGTTCGATTTATCAGATTAGTTGATTTTTTTACCTCGTGTGACGGCACACGACGCTTGACTAAGGAGGGGGGGGGGGGGGGGGGTCATAGAGTATGGACCTCAGCCGATGCGGCTACCATGTCACGGCATTAATATAATATATAACCAGGATACACTGCAGAACCATTGACGCATGTATCACCCAATTTAAACAGAGACCGTGCCGATCATCATTTTGTACTCTGTTCACTCTTTTTGTGTGAGCTAGGAAGCATGCACAGTAAGTGACGGTGACTTCGAGCTACATAGGGATGCAACATAATCATGACATAAACATGTGTAGCTGGCTGGTTTGAGTCTCCACGAAACATGATAATTTCAATGGCATGCTCATACAATTGCTATTCTCACTAAACCAATAGGCTATAATCGTGCAGACTTAATTGCTAAAATCACGGAGGCGTGCTGGTGCATTCACCTCGTGATGTCTTTGTGTTCAGCGCATTTTAGAATCATATTCTGGAGGTTAGAATGCGCCGGCTTCGTGGCATTCCACCCAGTTTACAGTCCTCACCCAGTTTACAGTCCCCCCTTTTCTTAACCTTATTCCGTGGCATTATTCGGGTTTTCACGGCTAACATTGGATAACATACTTGCCATTGAACGTTTCGCCTATGTATTCTTAATATGAATATTCGAATTGCAATGTAGATACGTCTACCTACAAATAGAATAGCACCTTCTTTGGTGAAACCGCGTGTGTGTTGGTCACTATTGAAGTGACAGCTTCCTGCTGTCTCTTACCACGTGTGGATAAGTCACCAGAGGAGTGCCGTCGCGCGAACACTTGCAAGACTGCAATCGGTATCGGCCCCTCAGCCTGACGTGTGAAATAGTTTTTTTTGTCCATTTAAAGTATTTAACTTCATGTCGCAACGCATTCGGGAACACTGCAGCCCGTCGACTGCATGTTAAAGTGTGCTAAACGGCGGTAATCTGCTTTAATTTGTGGTGAGCTGGAGCGATGTGGAGTGAGCTGAGCAAACCCTTTCATGGTCAAGCTCACGTTGACCATTTCTTGCTGGTATATATGGGTCATGCAGAGTTTTTCGGTGTGCGATGCCCGTTTTACCCTGTCTAAGTATCTGCAGGCATGTGTATACCATTGCTGACTCGTATTGGTCCGTGCTGACCCGCACCGACTCGGGTTGACCCATAAGGACCTGTGGTGGCCCGCGCGGAACCCGTCCTGGCATGTGCAGTACGCACTATTCTGTGTCGCCCGGCGCTAACCTGTTCTGACCTGTGGGGGTCCGTGCCGACCCGTGTTGACCCGTTAAGATCATTGCTAACCGCGCGTGACCTGCCCTGAACTGTGCAGTGCACGCTGTCCCGCGTCGCCCGGCGCTGACTGAGTTGGCTCGCACCGCCAGGTCGGGGACATGGTGGGCTCGCCGCTCCGGCCTGGAGAGACGGCTGGCGCTGCTGGCCACGGTGCTGGGCCTGATGGCCGTTGGTCTGGCCGTGGCCGTTCTGCTGGTGGCCGTCTCGGCGCGTGAGTGACGGGGCTGGCGGCGCCGGTTGCCGCCAGATCCGCGCACCCTCCTCCGGCTTCACCCAGCTCTCCTTCCCTCCCAGCAGCATTGACCACAAACACTTCGCATCGTCTTTTTGCCCACTAATCTTTCCATGAAACGTCGTGCTGATACGGTGATGGCATTCTTGTCGATTACTATCGCAATTTTGAGTGTTTTTGCTGACTATTTCGGTTGGCCGTTTTTGGAGGAACTTTCGTGAGGGAATGCCTGGCGAAAAAGGCAGATGCTGTGCATTATTATGCGTTGGAATGCGTCTTTGTGGAAGTATTCTTTCTTAGGGAAAGATACTTGGAGCATTATCCTCGCCAAAGCCGCACCAATTTCAAAGTCTCCGGGGATTAGTTTTCAGTTCACCATGTGGTACGCTTTAGTCGATGACTAGCCAGCGATCAATGGGTGGTGAATTCTGCGCATGTTCATAGTGAAAGCAGGTGAGCACTGCGGACGTTTAAATGTGAAATCACGTGGCTCATCTTAGTTGGAAAAAATTTGTAAGCCAGATAAGGATAAAATTTGCGCCGAAATCACGCATTACCTTACTTGTGCGCACGCTTGGGTCTTGGCTATCCCTCCAAACCAATAAGGGTAACTTGCCTGGAGTATACGGAAGCGTTACGCCTACGGAGCTGAAAATTTTGGCGGCACTTACTTATCAGAGTACCCAGTCGGAATCTCAGTAGGATCACCACTTATCTTATTGCAGAATCTCAGTTCACCACTTATCTACACAACGGATATCCTACCGGCAAATGTTCTGTCCTGAGCTCAGTCGAGTAGTCAACTAGTAGTGGGAAGGATCGCGTACTGGAATTGTATGCTGTGTATAGCAACCACTTTTCCACTGTATATAATGGCAAACGGTACGAGGATCATGGTTCAAGCGTCTTTTCTATACGCGGGGCATGCCAAAAGTGCAATAAGATGTCTTGTTTCACTTACCTGTCAATTTTTTATTACTTTTTGTGTGAGTTTAATAGGATATCGAGGACTAGCTGTGAGACTGTTATTCAAAATTTTAGACATATTGAAGCGCTGAGCCAAGTAGAGAGGGATAAACATATTGCGTTAATTGTTTCTTTTATGGTCTGAGCAATATGCAAACAAATGTCCCGGAAAGCCAAAGTGAATCATGTATGAAATCAATTAAGCTAAGTTGGTTATAATCTTTGTTTGTCCAGCGCATATTTTAACTGCTAATTTCATGGTCAATCATTTTGCCGTTATCTGAAGGTGCGAATTCGTACACTTTTGTTTGTTGATGCTGAACCTGTTCTTGCTGCGCCTATCGTTTTACCGGGAAACACTCTCAGTATCCTGAAAGCTGGTTCTCAGTTCATTTTAGGCAGTTTAGTCAAGTCTTGCTGCACTAAAAGAACTGTGAGCCCTCCTTTGGAACATAGGATTACCCTTCAATATAATTCGGTATCGCCTCGATGTCCTATTCGTGTGAAGTGCTACAACATGGCTAATATCTTGTGTTGAGGGGCGTCTGTCCATCCGCTCTCTCTCTCTCTCACTCTCTCTCGCAGTGATGTCCCTAATGTACACTGCACATTTCCTGCACGTTTGGTGTTGGTGTGACAGACTTTGGACCAAGAGACCTTCGCAATGCGTCATCCGACTGAGGCTTGACCGGCGCGCAAAGCGCGCCACTTAAGATTCTCCCAGTGCCGCGCATGGTGAGCCATTCGCCGGTCGTTTCAAAATGTGACACGTTTCAGATGCGCAAATTGTTGCTGCTATGCCACCATCGCATTGTTTGGCCTTCCGGTTCTTGCGCAGCGAATGGTTTTTATCGTTGATCAGAATGAGGCATTGTTGTAGGCCTCGACTGGTCACGGATGCCGCCACCCAAAAACATCGCGCGCGCACGAACAAACTCCAAACTGTGGCCTCGCATGAGGTCTTAAGGTCATAAGGTCGCACATGCCGCGGGCAGCCTCCGGGCTTCTGCTGTCAGACAGCCTCGGTGGACGCTTGCGAAGCTCTCCCCGCTTCTGAGTGCCGGCGCGTGGGTCGCGACGGACGGGCGGCGTAGCCGCGGGCTGCGAACGCCGGTCCGGCCGCGACGGGCCGCGCCAGTAACCCAGATCGGCCAACATGGAAACACGCGACTGCCGGGAACCGGTCGGTGTAGACTAGCGCTGTTCTTTACACCCCGTCTGTGGTCCTCGTCTTCCGCATGCGCCTCTGACCTCTGTTGGCGGTGTCGGTGACCCCTACCTCGCACGGCCCGGCACAGGTAGTGACCTCGAGGTCAGCACCCTGTAACGGACTTCTTGACTTGACTATTCGCCTGGCTGTTCCGCCGCGCCCCTGGCTCTTAGCACCACGCCAAAGCAGCGAACTGACTCGGAAGAGGCTCAGAAGCGTCGGGAAAACCCGATGAATGGAACTGGAGCACTAGCATATGCTCAAAACATTTCCTGCGAAGCCTGGCATGTCTGCCAGCTGCGCATTGCGTGAATTCAGTTGGGGAGACGAGTTAACGATCATACTCAAAGCTTGAGCTTGAATGTACACCATCTCAACTTCCCTTCAGTCACACGACAGTCTATGGCCGGTGGCTTTGTTGGCCGTGACCTCAGACGTCCTGGTTTACAAACAGTTGGAAGGCCCACTTTTGCCTTGTGGTGACCTAAATATCTTGAAGGCGGCTGCCTTTTTATCGCTGCCAGGGCCAGCTTTGCTTGCGAGAGACCACCCCAGCGTCATGTTCACATAGTTCTTATCGACGTACTCCGAGAGCTTGCCACTACTCTGTGATCGTGAGGGGCGGCACGTATGATAGCGTTGCAGAGAGGCGGCCATATCTGAAGAAGGCCGGTCTGATTGTGTATGCCACAGACAGCTGACGTTCTGACGGACGGGATAGTCACACGACGCGCGGCGACGAGATGTGCAGACGTCCGCAATGTTTGCACCTGCACTCGACCCTGCACTAACTCCTGCTCTCTCGTTCTCTCTTTCTCCCTCTTCTCTCCTCCTCCTACGCCCCTCAGCAGGTACAGGTAGCTCGGAGCACCTGATAGAGCGACGCTCTATCTCCGCAGCACAGAATTCGCAGGCTGCCGGTCCGCGGCACCACATCGAGGACATCTGCTTCACCAAGGGCTGCGTTCAGGCAGGTGAGCGCGGGCGGTGGTGTGGTCCGCTGCTGGCGCCCAGAGGCGTGCCGGCGCTGCCGGGGGCCGGCCGAGTCGGGTCGGCGTCCGGGCCCTGTCAGCGGCGAGAAGGCACTCAGCAGAGGACCCCGATGGTGATCAGTCGGCCCAACGCAGGCGCGAAAACCGCTGGTCCGATGCGTGCGCTGGCAGTTCCATTGTCTGTTGTACGTCAGAGAATGCCGGCAAAATATCTCGGCTTTATTTTGTTAGGCGAGCGGATAATTGTTCGCTTGTAGTTCTCTAGGTAAGGGTGCTTACGTAGGGGTGCAGCACGGACACTAGAACATCATACAATCTGCGTTCGGTTCCCATTCATCGACACCATCAACGGTTGTATATGATTCGGAAACCGTTTTTGAAAAAGGTTGATGTTTGATGAAAGTGCCTGATAAATGATCCGAGATGGCTTGTCAAATATTTCCCGATAATGGTTTTCTACAAGCGGGCTCACGTTAAAGTGAGGTGGATAATTGCCGCAAAGTGGGGTCCGGTCGGCTTCCAATCTGCCATGGTCGTTTCATTAGCACGCTTTCAGCCACTTTTCACTGAGTTCGTCTATGGTGAAAGCCGGGGCTGTGTGGAAGGATATAGTTCCAAAGCCGCCATCACCCATACGGTCCACCATGCGTCGTCGGCCGCTCCGTTGGGTTGATAACTAGAGCACCACAGAGGCCGCTTTAACGCAATCACTGTCTTTTACAGCGTACACCATCATGACTAACATGGACACCAGCGTGAATCCGTGCGATGACTTTTACGAGTTCGCCTGCGGGTCGTTCCTCAAGAGCACAGTTATCCCGGACGAGAAGACGTCGATCTCGCAGTTCACGGTCGTCGCCGACGCGCTGAAGAACAAGATGCGGAAGCTGGTGGAGGCGCCTGTGGCCGAGGACGAGCCCGAGGCGACCAAACTCATCAAAAACCTCTACGTCAGCTGCAAGGAGAAAGGTCAGGGCCCCGAGCGGTGCGAGCGGCCACAGGCCCAGCCCGGATGTTAACACCTGACGGTTGGGCCAGACGTGGTGGTTGGGGCGGAGTTGAAAAGCGGGCCGCCTCGTGCACGCGGCATGGCGAGAAAATCAATCTGGCCATGCAGCCCCGGATGGTGCGAGCCCAGACTGGAGTTTGGTGTCGCGGTCACATTGGTCGGCATGCTCGAGTGTGGCAGAGGCGGGCACTGTTCGGGCAGAACTGAGAAACATGGCGCTGCGCAGACAGCATGATAAGAAAAACCACTCGGGCGGTACGGCTCCGAATGGTGCGACTGATTCTAGGCTCATCCGGGATATTGGTCTGAGAATGATGATAGACGAGTAAGGTTATCGTTCTCTGGCGCCAGCACAGACACATCAGGAGGCACGTGCAGTTACTCGGAGTCACATGTGCATTGCTCATGCTGTCAGTCATTTCCTGTCAAAGGCCAGACGATTGTTTGCTCCCGATCGACAAGAAAACAACAATAAAACAGCTAGTCATGCCAGAGGCGAACAACCTTCGGGTGTACAAGGTCATCACGGGATTTCACCCTTGTCTTTCTTGTCACGAAGTCGCGTCTTTCTGCGTTCGGTTCTATGCATTGAGCTCGCCGGCGCGTGAGTCGCTGAGAGCGTTTCTCGCCGCTCTGCAGCTCTCTCCGGCCGCTCGGATGAAAGTGAAAGGACTTGGAAACCCCAGTCACTCGCGCCTCGCAGCCGATTCCGTTCAAACGCCGCGTGTCAACAAATCCGTGTTGATTTCAGAGCCGATGGAGCCGAGAGTAACGGCGAAAAACTTTGTCGCGACCTATGACGCTTAACTGCGCCGTGCCGTGTGACGCGTGGGCCTCTATGAGGTCAGCTGGCCAGTGTTTATGAGTTAGATTGCATCCAGACTAGAAGTCGGGCCGCCGAGGAGTCACTTACGTCACTGGATGGTCTGTAGTGAGCGGATGCCGGCGTTGCACTGCAGTCGGTAGCCCAAGGGCTCTCGATGGTGTCGTCCCGGGCCCGGGCACTCCGTTCCGCCTGTACCGGGAAGACGGCTCGCTGATGCTGTATGTCTCGCCTGGAGGACTCTGTGGCGCCGCGTTCCTCGGCCGAGGGCTAGGCGGTGCGGTCTGTCTCGCCTGGAGGACTCTGTGGCGCCGTGTTCCTCGGCCGAGGGCTAGGCGGTCTGCTCGCCTCGAGGACTCGTTGGCGCCGTCTTCCTCCGAGGGTTTGTTGGTGCCGTCTACCTCGCCTCGAGGACCCGGCAACGCTGTCTTTTTCGGCCGGAGGGTTTGGTGGTGCCGTCTTTCTCAGCTGGAGGACTCACTGCGGGCTGACCGGGCCCCAGTGTTGCCATCACCTCGCGCGCCAGGTCCCCCCAGGCCGTGTTAACTGCGTCGCAGTCGGCCGGAATTCGAGCATAGCGCGCCCACTGTGCCGAGCCGCCGCATCATTTCCGCCGCGTGCTGGCAGTGCGTCCACATCCGGTACCGCCGGCCGGCTGCCAGGCTGAGGCAGGGCGTGTCCGGAGCCAGTGGCCGCTGTAGTGGTGCAGATTGAGACTTCAGTGCAGAGATGGAGAGTTCAGCGTCCTACGAGGCGCTGTGGGTCTCGTCTGTGCCCTGCAGGCAGCATGCAGTCTCAGGAACAGATCAACAACTACGTGATTCCGGTCCTCTGGGAAGGATAACAAACGCGCCGCTCATACGCGAGCCTAGCGGCATGGAACGCTTTTACGCGGCTCCGCGGGACGGGAGCGCCGGTGGCGACGCACTATGCCGAGGCGCCTGCGCCTGCTGCCCGCGGCGGGAGGTCGCTGGGTGTGTCGGGATTTCAGAGGATAGCGTAGGCGAGTACTGGCCGCTGGCCAGGCTGCATGTCTGCGGTGCCTCGCGAGTATCTGAGTAGCTGTCGCCCAGCGGATAGGCTGACACAGCTGTTACAAATGCCGGCAGGGCTATGCAGTCTACGCCACATACGACTGACCGGCTGCCCAGTCCACCACAGGCTCCGTTGGACTTGAGTCAATATCAGAGGCGACCGAACTGAACACAGACAGACTGCGTCTAGCCACCACCACACATACTTGAACACTTATCCAGCCCACCCCATTACCGCTGGACCGCCGGCCCAGCTCATCCCAGCCGCGACGTTACCTGGTCGTGATGACCACCCTTCTGGGGTCTTCATCGGTGGGTCACGGAGTCCGCCGCCGACCTTTCGACACCATGAAATTGAACCGGCTAGCGGCTGGAGCCTCACAGATCGTCGAGCGTGGACCGACTGCTCATGTTGGTTGCTGGGCAGGGGACAGGTGACCGGGGTACGGCCGAGAGGCGCTGCGCCCAGGCCACTCGGACCTCGCAGGGGTCTGCCCAACTGCCGCGGAGCACACTCAGACGCCGGTGATGGCCGCCTTCAACTGCGCGTAGTACCGGGAACCACAAAGCCCCGGGATGTGCTGTCGGCGTCGACGGGCGTCTGCAGTAATGACTGAGAGCGTTGATCGCGCTGGATGTCGACGTCAAGGTCGCTGCGTCAGAGGAGCGTGTCGATGCATCGGGCGGTGCGGCGTGGTCGGACCGACCGCCGCTCGGGTCCCGGGGGTTACAGCTTCTGGGGCGCGGGGCGTCCGACGCTTCTGGGGCGCGGGGCGTCCGCGACGACCGGTGCGGCGCGGCGTGGTCGGCTGACCGCCGCTCGGGTCCCGGGGGGTTACAGCTTCTGGGGCGCGGGGCGTCCGCGACGACCGGGTGCGGCGCGGCGTCGTCGGCCCGACCGCCGCTCGGGTCTCGGGGGTTACAGCTTCTGGGGCGCGGGGCGTCCGCGACGACCGGCGCGGCGCGGCGTCGTCGGGCCGACCCGCCGCTCGGGTCTCGGGGGTTACAGCTTCTGGGGCGCGGGGCGTCCGCGACGACCGGCGCGGCGCGGGCGTCGTCGGGCCGACCGCCGCTCGGGTCTCGGGGGTTACAGCTTCTGGGGCGCGGGGCGTCCGCGACGACCGGTGCAGCGCGGCTGCGGCTGCCCGCCGTCGGCCGGAGCGACGCCCCCGTGGTCGAGTTACATTTGTGGTGGAGTTTCATCGCTGGCACTGCGCGCCGCCGGGTCGCCTACAGCGGTGCGACGGGCCTCACGGTCGCCGTGCATGACGCAGTGAAGGGCGCCGAGCCGGCGCTTTGCATTCGGAAGTGTGCTGAATCTCGATAATAACGTGGCTGACGGCGGCAGGTCGGCCATCGTGCTGAATTAACGCAGTCCTTGCGGCCACGTCGCCCTTGGTCGGTTTATACGTGCTATGGCTCTCAAACTGTTTTACATCTAGCTGCTGAACTCAGAACACTATATTGTGAGTCATACAGAGAAAGCTGCGTAGCACTGGATCACTACCAAAACGGGTGTCCAGATTCAGTGATTTCGTTAAGTGGCACCAAGCAAAAAGGGACACCATTCAAACCAAAGAAGCTGCCGCAACTCCTATGCGTTAAAAATGAGCTATTGAGTGCCGCTGCCGCACGTTTGCAGCAAGCACTTGGAGGCTTACCGTGGAGGCTCTTGGGATGCATCCTGCCAGTGGATAGACCGAGGTCGCATGTGGTGGGACTGACACAGGTGGCACGATCTGCTTTCATTATGCCCATCCTTTGTCGGATCAATATTTGGAGACCACTTATTAGGCAGCCCCTGTTGCTGGCATGCAAGCGTGCTGCTGCGGCGGCGGCGCGGGACCCGGCCGCGCGCCCACGTCAATGCATCGAATCCGCTGTCGGGCTCGCCCGTTCCCAGCGTTTCCCAACCTGCGGCGAGCCCGTCGGCTCGTGGCGCTCCGGGAGGAAGCTGGTGAGAGGAGAAAGGCGTGACGCCGTGGCGGCGGTGGGACCTCGAAAGCCACCTTCACTTGCCCAGCTCGGGGCTGGTCGCCACACGTGGAATCACCGGCCACGTGGAGTGATAGGGATGGGAGGGGGGGGGGGGGGCATCCAGCCTCGTGCTTTTGTGATGTATATGTTACAGCTTGAAAGTACGCCACTGTGTATGAAAGTCGGAGTTACACGGTGAACATGAATGCATTGCCATCAGCACTCCCATTGTCAGAGTCAGTCAGTCAGTCAGTCAGTCAGTCAGTCAGTCAGTCAGTCAGTCAATGAGTCAGTCAGTCAGTCAGTCAGTCAGTCAGTCAGTCAGTCAATGAGTCAGTCAGTCAGTCAGTCAGTCAGTCAGTCAGTCAGTCAGTCAACGAGTCAGTCAGTCAGTCAGTCAGTCAGTCAGGCAGGCAGGCAGGCAGGCAGGCAGGCAGGCAGGCAGGCAGGCAGGCAGGCAGTTAGTCAGTCAGTCAATCATCGTCAGTCATTGTGTTTCCGCGATCAAGAACATTTTAAAGAAAGCTGTACGGTCAGTCATTCGAGTCATTGTCACTCAGTCTCTTTGGGATCACGGACATTCTGAAGAAAGCTGTACTGCTAGTGCGCGAACACAAATATTACGGCGTTGTTGGCACGTTCACCGAGCTCTCGCCTCGTCTCGTCCCACCGTTTGTTGTACGGAGCATCCGTCGCGCGGATGTCTGCGCAGCCTGTGTATGACGCCGCCGCTTCCACCCCAGAGAGGATCGAGGAGCGAGGCCTACAGCCGCTGCAGGACGTCCTGGAGAAGATGAAAGGCTGGCCGGTGGTCGAAGGTCAGCGAAAGGTCTCGCCTCGCGCCGACGCTTTGATCGATGGGACTTCGCAGCCCACCGTCCGGTAGCGACACGCTGCCCTCCGTGTTTTTGCACGACGGATCGGCCGCCGTCAAATATGCGCTGAAATGTATGCCGCCGGATAGACGCTGCGTCGCGCTCAACTGGTGGCGCAGCAGGCCCTGTTGTGTCATCGCTGCGTTGTGACCCGACGCCCGAAAACAGAGGTGGCCTCTCACATCGTCGGGTTTGTGGTGGCATCACGTTACGCCGCGCGCGGCCCGCGGTGCGCGATGGGGCTTCCGAGCCGGCTCCGTGTCGTCGGTGAAGCTCGGGAAGCTCGCCCGGCGCAGCTGAGCTCCAATGTCGCCCCTCCCCTCCCTGCCTGACGCCCGCCGGACCTCTGCCAGGCGACAAGTGGGACGAGGAGGGCTTCCACTGGACGCGAGCCATCTACCGCAACCGCGCGCTCGGCTACTCCATCGACCACATGTTCGACTTCTCCGTCACGACCGACGTGAAGAACTCCTCCTGGCGCATCCTTGACTTCGACCAGGCTTCGCTGGGTCTTCCGCGCAAGTACCTCATCAAGGGTGAGCACGAGGAGAGGGATCTAGAGAGGGGGAGGCAACATCGTCCCGGGAGGTGGCTTTGCTGCTGTGTGGCGCTCCGCCATCCAGGCGCGCCCACATATTGCCTGCATCAGCGGCACGTTTGGCTCTGAATCTTGCCAGCCTTTCGCGCGGTCAAGGTGTGACAGCACGCTCTCGCCAAGGAAACGCCCCTCAGATGTGGGGCCATGACTCGAAATTGGTTCGCTTCTTATCTTGGAGGCTCTGGCTAGGGGAGCAGCAATCGCGTGCTAATGCTCGACAGGAAATCTACCGCCGACATATAGGTGCAACTGAATGTCATGTTGCAGACATGGCCATTACCAGCGGGCTGAATAAGATGCCAGCATAGCCATTCCTCGGCGGCAGTCCGTGAACATCATGCACTCAGATTGCAGGCAGTAACATTAACCCTGAATACTGCGGTCAGTGTGTCGAGGGGCCAACAGGGTCTGCAACAAGCAAGGCCGGTTTGTACTACCGCAGTATGGTGGCATAACGTATGGTGTTTACCTTCTGCTCAAGGCGATCGCATGCATACGAAGGAGTGCCGTCTGGTATGCTGCTTATGGGACAAGGCCACAGTGAGGTGCTACCGGTGGGAGAACGTGACATGACCACCAGCAACGCACAGCTTGTTTTCTGGAGAGAGGGGGGGGGAGGGGCTGTTTCCCGTTGCAACGGTGCTCTTCTGCCTGCTTTGGGCAATTCGTCGGCGACCTTTACCATCGTTCATGACTGATCTACTCAACGTGAGTTGTAGTGTGCTGGACAAACCACGAGCGAGTGACATGATGTCCGTATCAGTCGCGGCACGCCACGGCAGCTGAAGACGACAGCCACCGCGAGCCAGGGCGAGCCGGGCGCTCTGTCGTGCCCCGTTTCCACTCACGACCAGCCCATGTGTACCGCTGTCCGCGCGCCGGCAGGGTTTGATGACCCGGACATCCAGGCCTACTACAAGTACATGGTGGACATGGCGGTGATGCTGGGAGCTGAGAAGGAGCGCGCTCGTTCCGAGCTGAAGGAGTCCCTCCTGTTTGAAATCCAGCTGGCCAACGTGAGTTACGACGTCGGGCGGGCCCAGGGGGACTGGGTGCGTTATTTATGATGTTTGACAAACGTCTTGCGGTCGCCAACTGACAGCGTTCGGGTCAACCTCAGCATGCCGGCTCGACTACTTTGCTCGGCATACCGTGGATGCCAAGCATTAAACAATAGCGTGCTATGCTCACGGGTGAGTGCATCGTTTGAGTCATGGTACAGGATCTTAGAGGGCTTTGATATTGTCGGCTGCCCCGTCGAATTCGGGATTTTCCCCGGTCACAAACGTGTGCCAACATTCCAACACTTTGTCGATACCATAAATAACGAATGGCAAGTGTAGAGCGGCGTGTTCCCGCGTGCCACGCCAGCCACGGACCTTCTCTGACCGGAACGCACACCTTCGGAAAGGTGGTCCACGGACCCCATCTGACCGCAACGCACACCTTCGTCAGGTGGTCTACGGACCCCATCTGACCGCAACGCACACCTTCGCCAGGTGGTCTACGGACCCCATCTGACCGCAACGCACACCTTCGCCAGGTGGTCTACGGACCCCATCTGACCGCAACGCACATCTTCACCAGGTGGTCTACGGACCCCATCTGACCGCAACGCACACCTTCGCCAGGTGGTCTACGGACCCTCTCTGACCGCAACGCACACCTTCGCCAGGTGGTCTACGGACCTTCTCTGACCGCAACGCACGCCTTTGCCAGGTGGTCGACGGACCTCTCTGACCGCAACACACATCTTCGCCAGGTGGTCTACGGACCTTTTCTGACCGCGACGCACACCTGACCACCGCACACCACCAGGTGGTCTTGGCGGCTGGCGTGCCCCACAGACGCATTTGTCGGCATTGTTGGAGCCCATCCGTCCGTTAGTTTGCCGCTGTCTTACGCCGTCCGGCTGTAACTATGGCAGGGCCGAAGTTTGCGAGGCTCTCAGCGGCGGCCCGCTGCTCGCGTCGCCGTTGTTCAACGCAGCACGTCTGCAGCAGATGCGCGCCTCGGCGCCGGCTCCCACGGCAAAGTTATGACCGTCGCGGGCCCAGGTGTGCGCGACAGGTCATGTTTGGCCGGCTGCGGCTGACAGAGCTGCGACGCGTCTCGCCGCCAGATATCGCTGCCGGCCGAGGAGCGGCGCAACATCACCAAACTCTACAACAAGATGACGCTGGGCGAGATGTCGCGGCTGGCGCCTAACATCCCCTGGGTGACGTACGTCAACAACCTGCTGCGCGCCGCCGGACATCAGGTATGCCGTGCGCCCGTCAGCCGGCGCCCGCCACGGCACGGCCGGGCCGAGGACGGCGTCTAGAGGCGTCCCGTCCCGCCGGCGCCCGCCACGGCACGGCCGGGCCGAGGACGGCGTCTGGGGGCGTCCCGTCCCGCCGCACAACAGGCTAGGCGACCCCCACAAACATTGCTGGGGGTGCTGATAACGCTCAGATTGTGCATCGTATGCCAATTTATTTTGTCAGTGTGGGGCAAGTTGATCCCTTGATGAGAGGCAAAGTGGAGATGGTTGCTGGCGACGTATTGTCTTTTCGTCAGCGATCGCAGGTTTGGTCATTTGTCACCGTTAGGTTACACGCTGCACTTTCAGCCGCGTAGTAATCCGATGCGACCTACCAGATCAAACTGAAAATGGTTGTTTCGCAACGCGTTCTGCGATGAAACTTAAACCACGAGATGAAACACGAATATGAACATTTAAACAACGCTGTTTCTGGAAATTCCGCCACCCAGCCACATCGTGGTGCTGCACACAGATCAGCCATTGGAAAAACCCATCCTCATCTAGTGATAGTTATGTTGGCAAACCTTCGCGTTATTTCAACGTATTCTACCGGATGTCACTGGCACCACATTTTATTAATGCTGTGCAATCGTTGTTTAGATGAAAATGTGGTTTGCCTTTTTAATACGCACTTACACCAAATAAACATGGGCGTTTGTTAAGCACGTTTTTAAGCACATTTGCCATCAATTTCTGGTACCCGGGCGATAACGTTGGCTTCCTGGGAGTGGGGTGATTTGGCGCCCTAGCGCTGCCGGAGGGTGCGTCTGAGCCCGTGACCGGTCATCTCCAGGTCACTGCCGACGAGCCCGTCATTGTGGACGTGCCCGACTACGTGAAGAAGGCGGCCGCTCTGCTCGAGGTCACACCCAAGAGGTGAGTTGCCAGCTAGCGACGTGTCCCCAGGCTCCGCAGTCAGCTGGCGCAGCGTCCCCAGCCTCCGCAGTCAGCTGGCGTCATTCCCCCCGCCTCAGCAGTCAGCTGGCGCAGTGTTCCTGGCTCCGCAGCCAGCAGGCGCCGTGTCCCCCGCCTCCGCAGTCAGCTGGTACCGTGCGCCCCGCCTCCGCAACCAGCTGGCGCCATGTCCCACACCTCCGCAGCCAGCTGGCACCGCGTCCCTCCGCCTCTGCAGCCAGCTGGCGCCAGGTCCCTCCCCCCCCCCCGCAACCAGCGCTCAGGCAGGGGAGCTCCGTCTTAAGATGCCCTCCAAACCAACTGCACTGCTTCGTTTGAGCAGAGTGCATCGAGATGCGCGAATGAAGGTCGGCAGGGACGTTTTCTATCACATTGCGGTGGGAAAGAGAGCGGGCATGGCTACAAGCCTGCCGTGTCCTGCGCCGCTAGTGACACTGGGGCCTCTGTTCGTGCGCTCAGGATCCAGGCCAGCCGTGTGATGTGGTGCGAGCTGTGTTGGCCCTTCTCTGTTTGCCCGCACACAGGGTACAGGCCAGCTGTATGATGTGGTACGATGTGTATTGACCCTCCTCTGTTTGCCCGCGCGCAGGGTACAGGCCAACTACATGCTGTGGCGTGTGGTGTACGGTTCGGTGGGAATGCTGACGGAGGAGGCGCGTGACGTGCAGCTGGAGTTCTCGGCCAAGCTGACCGGCCAGACGCAGCGCAAGCCCCGCTGGAAGGAGTGCCTCGAGGGTGTCATGGGCAGGTACGCACCGAACATGGCTGCAGACGAGGCAACTGGACAATTAAAAATGTGGCCACTGGCACGGGATAAGATACCGACTCAAGCTCACCCGTTATTAGTAGTATATCCGTCAGACATGGGCCTGGCACCCCCAAATAGATTCCAGGATCCGATCCCAGGATGAAATTAACATGGAACCAAATGAAACCCTGGACCTACACTTGAGATACATGATCGGTATGATAAGATTGACCATTAATATCGACTGTTTATGTTCCTTCAAATGGGGTATCTTCAATATTTCTCTAATCTTTAAATAATCTAATTTTATATTTTATATTTCAATCTTTTCGGCTATTTTATTTTTCATAGGTTTCAATTTTTAATCTTGATCTCAGGGCTTTCATCCGCACCTTTTTCATCAGCAATGGGGTTAAATCGTTCCGATCACCTATAATGCACTACTACTTACATGCAAAATTCATGCCCAATGGCCGCGTGCAAACGCGAGCATCAAGCAGCGCCGCACTTTCCACATATTCCCTGCCAGGCTGCAGTCGCCGAGAGGCTCCGTTGCATTCTGCGGCGGATGCCGACAGGTCGGGATTCGCCGGCGGTCGCCGCGGCCCGCCGTTCAATATTGACTCGGGCGAGACTGGCGGGCGCGCGTGCGACCGCTGCGATACCATTGGCCGCGCGGCGCCACTTTGTAGTCGGCCTCAGAATGCGTAATCCGATCCGGCCGTCTTCTGAGATAATATTTCCGGAGACGTGCTCCCGTCGGCTGCATCCCAACGGCGCAGACGGCCGGCGCGACGCGTGTGTCTCGACTCCCGAGCTGGTAATGGTTAGCCGTCGACGCTGAACTGTGAGCAGTGAGTTAAGTTTCGGTGTTGTGAAGGCGATGAGTGGTGAGCTATCAGCGGTGAGTTTTTGATGAGCTGTGGGCGAAGGACTGTAAGCATGGATAACCCATCTGTAAGCAGTGAGCTGTGAGCGCAATCCACCATTTGTCGGTGACCTGTGAGTGATAGGCTGAGGACCTGTGCTACAGTCTGTCGCTAGCCGCCGCTATGGCGGCTAGCGACGGACTGAACTGTGAACTGTCAGTGACGGGCTGACGACCTGTCCTCCAGTCTGTCGCTAGCCGTCGGTGACCTGTGAGTGACGGGCTGACGACCTGTGCTGCAGTCTGTCGCTAGCCGTCGTCGGTGACCTGTGAGTGACGGGCTGACGACCTGTGCTGCAGCCTGTCGCTAGCCGTCGGCTCGCTGTACGTTCGGAACCACTTCGACCCGACGGCGCGGCAGGCGGCGCTTGATATGGTCGAGCACATCCATCAGGAGTTCAACATCATGCTGGGCGAGGTCACCTGGATGGACGACAAGACCAAGTGAGTGGGGCGGTGGCCACGGGCCGGACATCGCGGCTTCAGACGTCTGTCCACCGACACACCGCCGCCACTGTGCCTGACCTGTGGCCTGGCGACTGGCTTTTTCAAACATGTTGGCTTCTGTTTGCTCTGTGCTGGACAGCGAAGCACAAAGCCCGCTAGCCTGCCACCGCTGGCGCACCGGTGGCGGCTCGAGTGCCTGATCCTTGACCCATTACCACGCAGAGAACGCGCCAAGGAAAAGTCGAAGGCCATCAACTATCACATCGCGTATCCGGAGGAGATCCTGAACGAGACGGCGCTCGCCATAGTATATGACGGCCTGTACATCGACGACGAGCACTACTTTGAGAACAACATCAACATGAGCGTGTTCGGCACCAACTACGCCTTCAAGAAGCTCCGTGAGCACATCGACAAGAACGACTGGCGCACTCACGGGTCGGCGGCCGTCGTCAACGCCTACTACAGCCCCATCGAAAACAGCATCAGTGAGTGGCGACACCATATCTGCGTGTGCGCTCGGGGTGAGCACAGCTGAACGGACACTTGTACCGGGGTTCAGGGGTGGATGCTCTGAGCGAGCGCACGTGGACTGCCACATGTGATTCAGGCGGCGCGGCCGCCTAGTTGCTCGGGGATCGTTGGGGGATTGATTGGCTCAGGCGTCGGATATGCCGTCGGGTATGGGCAGACATGATTCAGCTCCTACCCGCGCCGGCGTGAATAAATCCCACCTCGTTGCCGGGTGAGATAGAGTGAGCGACGCAGCGGCTGAGGCGTGCAAATGTGTCGCCATAGCGACGTCAACGGCAGGTCGTTAACCGGCCGACAGTTGTCCCGCACGGAGTCCGGCTCACACGACAGCTGAGCGCACGTCCAGCCGCGGGAGCCGGCTCCCGCGCCGCTGACCGGCTCCGCCTCCCCGACAGTGTTCCCGGCCGGCATCCTGCAGGGCATCTTCTACGACTACGACCGGCCCAACTACATGAACTACGGCGGCATCGGCTTCGTGATCGGGCACGAGATAACCCACGGCTTCGATGACACGGTGCGTGGCCGGTGGAGACTGCGGCCGTGAAGGGGGCGCAGGTGTGGACCGCGCAACCCCAGAGTGTGGCAGCACTGGACACGACTCATTACTTGGATGCAACGGAAGACATACAGGGAGATAGGGCAACTGCGCTGAACCTGAGGCTGCATTGCGGACATGCTGGTACTTGTTGGCCTGTTGCCACGTCCTTGTAAGTCTAAATGACTAACGATTGAACGTGGAAACCGGCAAGCTCTTTTGTGGAGCTGCGATATTTTTCTGATTACTACCGACTGGGCTGATGTGCGCTGAATGTCGGATACTAAACGGTACCCTGCCATTCGTCATACTCCCTGGCAGTGTGAGTTCAGGCAAGGATTGCGGATGACATCTACGGGAGTGATACCGATGGGTGCTTCCTCCGGATGCTCTCACCGACTCCCTTCCGTCCGGGCCGCGCAGGGCCGGCAATTCGACAGCAAGGGCGACTTGCTGGACTGGTGGGAGCCGGTGACCAAGCGCCGCTTCCTGAAGGGTGCTGAGTGCATGATCCACCAGTACGGTAACTACACCGTGCCCGAGATCAACATGAAGGTACGCACCGACTGGAAGCCGCGCGCGCGTAGGCGCTGTACATTCGCACGGCGTGCCAGACCGACGCCTGACTGGCGCTCGCTCGTACTTAGCTCGTTGTACGCATGCGCCGCCTGGCGTGCCGCTGTTCTCGCTCGTCATGCCTCGATAAGCCGGCCGTCTGCTGCCGTTGGCTCGCTCGCCTCGAAAGCAGGCCGTCGTCCGCTGTTCGCTCGCCAGCCTTGAGTAGCCGACCGAGCCGTCTGGCCGTTTTGCTCGCCATGCCCTGAGAAGCGGGCACCAGTTTGCTCTCGCCATGCCTCGAATGGCCGGCCACTGCGGCCACTCGTGCAGCTCCGTTGCCTGCCGCCTGGCTCGTGCCGTTCGCCGCCGCCGCCGCTGCTCGTGCGTAGAGCTCGTGCTGACGCCCGCCGGCGCCCTCTGCCCCCACAGATCAACGGCATCATCACGCAGGGCGAGAACATCGCGGACAACGGCGGTCTGAAGGAGGCGCGCCGCGCCTACCAACGCTACCAGGAGGAGCACGGCGTGGAGCCGGCGCTGCCGGGGCTACAGCAGTACAGCAGCGAGCAGATGTTCTGGCTGACGTCGGCCAACTCCTGGTGCCAGACCGTGAAGGACCAGACGCTCAAGAACCGGATGCTCACCGACTCGCATTCGCCGGCGCGCGCGCGCATCAACGTGCCGTTCAGCAACTTGGAGCAGTTCTCGCAGGACTGGAACTGCCCGGCCGGCTCGGTCATGAACCCGGCGCACAAGTGCACCGTCTGGTAGAGGGCAGCACGGTCGCGCTGCCGGCGGGCCCGGGAGCCGACCGCGCGTCGCGGCCGGAGCCGCCTCCGCCGACCAGCCTTCTCGGCAACCCGGCGGTCAGCGGGGCTGAAATTCTTGTTACTTTGTACATAGTGCCAGCTGTTATGGTGTACTGCGGCGGCGTGGCTCCTTGCCAGCGGGACCGACGCCTGTTGTGTTTTGGTATGATAAGCACTTGGGGGCTCGTTTCCCACTAGAGCCGCCCGGCATCTGACCTGCGCGCGCCGTCTGGGTCTCTCCGCATCATTCCTGCGCCGCCGTCCGCGTCCGTCGCCCGACGCTCGCACCGGTGCCGCCCATGCGGGAGTGGCGAGGCGTCGCCCAGCCTCCCTTGTCCACGCGCGTCCCACGCCGCGCTGGGCCTTCAGTGCTGGCCCGCGGTGCCATCGATCCTTCCTGCCTGGATCACTTGACTTCCATCGACCGTGAAATATTTTATGACCTGTATGATATTCGTTATACCTATGCACGCAAAGACACACTCTTTCTATATGCTAAAGGTATGTTAGCTCTGTGATGCGTGATTCCGTGCCCGTGTACCGTCGTGTTGGTTGATGGCGGCCGCCCCGCCAGTGCTGGATGTGCCCGCTCCGGGTGCGCCCCGAGCCCCGTGACCCGAGCTCCTGTCCACGGCGCCGCGTCCTCATTGCAGCTGAACGGCGTGTTGACGCAAGACGAGAATATCGCCGACAACGGCGGCGTGCGGCTGGCGTACCGGGCGTACCAGCGGGCGGCGTTACGCCGGCCGCCGCGACTGCCGGACGTGCCGCTCACCGGCCGCCAGCTCTTCTGGGTGACGGCCGCCAACGTCTGGTGCTCGGCGGACCGGATCGAGCACCTGCGCCACTCGGCGCTCGACAGCGAGCACGTGCCCAACCGATTCCGGATCAACGGGCCGTTCTCGAACATGGCCGAGTTTGCCGTCGACTTCGGCTGCCGGCCGGGCTCGCCGATGAACCCGCCGCACCGCTGCCGCGTCTGGTAGGGCCGCCAGCCCGGCCGCGCTCTGTCCGAATCTCACTGGTCGATGTGCGGCGGTCAGGACCGAGACAAGGCCCGACCGGACAGACCCACACGGCCCCTCCGACTCCGGTGAAAATACTACCTTGTGAACGGCAGCGACAGCTGCTTTGACTGATGCGTTTTAGATGAGTGTTTTCCAATGTTACTTGTACTGCCTACCCAAGTAAGGTTAACGCGACACAGGAAATACAACCGATTCCCGAAGTGCACCACTTGTTTGGATCGCGCCACTTGCTGCGAGAACCTGGTTATAATCGCCCAATCGTGTGCTTACGCTTAGTAAGTATACCGCCTTCCACAGTGCTTTTGAGTCCCTCACACGGGAAGACACATAGGCAAACCAACAGACCACCGGTACCAACCATTTTCATAGTGTCATGCACCTTCATAGGCCGTAGTGGTCTTTGCAAAAATGTACCGGCATTGGAACCTGCACTGAAATGAGTCGAGTTGCCATCCTTCTTAGTGATGGTGATCGGGTTGCTTCCTATATGAGACCCTGCAATGTTGACGACTGCGAACGTTTTCACGGAAATATGTGCAAGGTGGTTAGAAAATCCAACTTAGCTCAGGCGCTCCTCGTGCAAATTTCAACATTTATCAGCATCCTCTAAGGTGGCAGCCGCCCTCAGCTTGGATTTGGTCTAGTTTCAGTTTTTCTCGCTGACTTAAGAGGGTCGTGTGACACCGTTTTTGATGGTTGTTTATGGCAGGGAGTGCGTTTCGGCACTTCTGTTTTCACGCATAGGGTCGAATCCAATGTCGAACTGAAGGTGATGGGTTAGATAATCGCAGATAACCAAAACTTCTTGCATTAACCGATATAGGCCGTTTGGTGTCTTCTCGTACTCATAGTTGTACAACTCGCAGCAGCGGCATTTCTTATAATACCGTGATGATATGAGCATGCGTTATATGCACGACGTATGTGTTATAGAAGACTATGATGCTTATGTAGACATGTTCTGTCGAATGTACAAGTGTCTGTTCAAAAACTCGCCGCTGCACACCGATACGCTATATACAGGAGCGCGGGAACTATGTTAATGTTGACGGGGAAGGCGGAGGGAGGGCAAATGAAAAATGCCACAGTGGCCCCTGGATTAGATAGTGCCCCCCCCCCCCCCCTACAAGCCGGAATGGGTTTTTCCAGTCGATAATGGGCCCGATACAGATCACAATGTGCCCTCCGCAGGACGAAATAGGACTTCCACAGTCAGTAATAAGCCCTCTGCATGCTAGAATGGGCCCACTGGGCGCTACAGGTCAGAACGGAGTCCTTACGGGCCAGAATTGACCCTCCTTAACCCAGAATAGACACGTTAAGGCCGGAATGGCTCTCTACGTGCCTAAATAATCATTTCTACAGGCCCGCATGGCCCTCCATAGAATCGATAGTGCATGTCATTTTGGACCCATTTTGACCCATTTTGGACATGCCATCTGCATGTCAAAATGGGTCCTCTATCGGCCAAAATGGGCCCCATACTGCTCAGAATGGGCCCTCTAGATACCAGAGTGGATGTCTAGTACCTCTAGTGGTAGTGGTACTAGAGTGGTATCTAAATGCTTCTAGATACCAGAGTAAACACTGGTGAGTCTACAAAGCCAGAATGGGCTCTCCAGTCAATAACGGACCCTGTTCTAGTCCAAACGGGCCATCTACAGGCCAGAATGGGCGCTCTACAAGCCAAAATGGCACTCCAATCCATAATGACACTTCTTCAGGTCAAGATGGCCCCTATACAGACCAAAATGATAACCACAGTTCAAAATGGGCCATCTACGAGGCTGAATGGCCCCTCTATATGTCAGAATGTGCCACATAAAGGCTAGAATGGGCCCTCGAAGTGAATAGTGGTACCTCTGCAGCTCATAATGGGCACTCTGCAGACCCAAGAGTACCCTCTACAGGGTCAGAGGTGCCCTCTTTTGACCAGGATGCACCCTAAACAAGCAAGAATGAGCCCTCAACAGCATGGACTTTTAGAGGCTTACATACATTTACGAACCTAGATGCATTTTACCTACATTTGCGGCTTACAGCCTTCGGGTCCCCTTAGCAGCTCAGAATGGGCCCTTAGCATACCCGAATGGGTCCTCCACAGGCCCTCCAGGTTGAGGGCGCCCCCTCACCCACCCCCAGCTTTCAAGTTGGGGGGGGGGGGCGGAGGCGAACCGTCCCCACTGCCCCCGGTTCCCACGTCCTTGGCGATGAGTGGCACACAACTCTGTCGGGACGGGATACCTTAGCTCACAAATCAGGCTTCTGTAGCTGTATATCGAGGCGTAGAAACATTGAGGCAAGAAAGTCTTTGAGGTCCTATATCGCGATTCTCCACAAGTTGCTGAAGTCCCAGTACAGTGACTGATTCGAAGCGAGACAGTCTGCTGTCTAGGAAACAGTGTAAGCCAAAGGACAGCTAGGCCTACACAATGAATGGGCAGATCTGTATACTTTTGCCTTCCTGCAAATAAACCTTAGCACGTTGTTGAAGCAAATCAGAAGAAAATCGACCAGAGAATTGTAAAATTACAGGCTGACCCAGTCAAAAATGTATCCAGCGTCCGGGCGTGTGAACAGGCGCTGATGCTCTCTCAGTACATCTGCGGCATTGGAATGTTCCTGACAGCGCTGCCACATACCGCTATACCTTGTAGTGTAGAGGTCATGTTAGGTCGACAAGGCCTATTCTGGTCGAGTTCATAACAGGTCAATAGGGCCATCCTAGGTCGACCTTATGGCAGTATGCAGTCATGCAGGTTGTGGATGCAAACAGTAGTGCGGTGACCACCACTGCGTGGCGTGCGCTCCATGAGAAGGTGTCAGCTTGTTAGCTAGCATCATCAGCTACTGCTCTGTCACCGCGCACACTGCGTGCTGAACCGTGGTGTTCCCTTCAGTGTCTGATGTTGAATCATTCTTAGTCAAGAAATACATTGCCAACATTTCTCAAGCAATCTGTTTTCACTCTACATGAATGGGGAAGCATACAAAAGCCAAGAATGTCATCTAAAAAGTCAGCTAAATGTGTAAAAATTCAACATTTCGAATGTCAGGTAAGCCCACATGACCACAACATTGGAATGTGCAAAAAAAACTTTTCTTAATGGCCAGCGTCTACTTGCAAAATTTATGGGCTCTCTTCCAGTGCTTTACTCATAAAGCACATTCATTGCAGTGCTGGAAATTCCAAAGAATTTCCTGGTGGCGGAGCAAAAATTTCTTAAGTGGAGTACGAAATTATCCAAGTGCTACAGGTCATTACAGTTTTACTTGGGTTATCTTTGAGAGATAACACTACAATGGGTGGTATTCAATAAAAGCACCACTTTTCATACACAGCAATTCATGCAAACGCACTTTAAATGAAAGGAAACATCAGTATTTAACATGACACACTGAAACAACACAGTGTCATACTCTGTACAATGAAACGCATATGCATATACATGGGTTTTCAGCGTATGGAAGGCTCTGTGTATACACCCTCCAAAACAGAGGGTAATTACGCATCGGGCTTATACACTCTCCAAAATGGAGGGTGGGTAGGAAGCGCGCAGCCAGAAAAAAAATGGTATACAACAAATGCAAATGAACATGCCACAGACGGCCACCCACTCATGCTCCACGACGATCACGCCACTCACGCTCCACCGTGGTCACGCTACTCACGCTCCACCAGCCAAATGGTTTTAAAAACAGCCAAACATTCATGCCCTCCATCCTCCGACTCCTCGTCAACACACGAGGCCCTGCACATCCCACCCGAACAATAGAGACAGCCGGCCCTCTTAACCGATTTACGGAGCCAGCGCAAGTACAATGCCTGACAGACCGGCGCAGGCCGGCCAAAAGGGATCGGAGTCGGTTGCTCCGCTGACTCCGGCGGAAAGTGCAAAGTATTAATGGATTTTGATGCGCTTTCACCGACATCATTGCGAAACATGACAATTTATGCTGCAATTAACTGATGCTTTTGTACTAATAAACCTTCCTCCTTAATTTGTCGGATCAAAGTTATGGGTTCATGCTACTCGGTTGTCCTGGTGTTTTTGTCGGAGTGAGCTGGCTGTCTCCGAGCAGTTTTTTGGGTATTTATAACAACGTTTTTTCGACTTCAAAGGGTATTTTTGTAAAGCCTGAATTACCAGCTTTAATTTCACATCCTTAAGTAACAAATTTAGCTCGGTTTAAATCCACAACTGCAGTAACATTTTTGTACTCCGGACGCCAGGAAGCTGCCAAAAATCCAACCACAGGGCGGTTCTGGATGAGTTCAAATAAGTATTTCTTCATAATCCTGGTACCCATCTCTATACAGCTTCCCTCCAAATGTTTATAAATATGCTCAAGGCATGAGCGCGGGCAGAATATCTACGCTCTTGACATTCACGAAGAGGCGAAGCATTAAAACCAATTGAATAATATAATATATAATATAATAAAACCAATCAACCTCCAACCTGAGCTGGGAGGCAGCCGCAAGCCGCTGAATAGTTGAGACGTTTCCGACGTTGAATTGCGGGTGATTCTCTTATTTGCATTGCCATGACACAGTGGTGTTGCGCGAGTAGGTGTCCGTCTGTGGTAGGTAATTGGACGCGTGGTTTTCTATGACTGTTCGTCGCATCCTTGGCAATTAATGCGGTTCGTCGTCAATGGTAGGTTAGGTCATGTTCAAGTTTGTGTTGGTCTGCGAACATAGGAAGTGAGAGCTTTGTTAATCTACAGACCGGTGCGATTCTGGTAATCTTTTTTCATTTCCCGGTGTTGTACAAAGGCGATTCCATTAAACATTCACACACTTTTTCACATTTCCATACATGGTTTATCATATAACTGGGTGGCAACACAGGCTGCTTGCCATTGGGCATCTTAGTCTGGTGGGTGCAAGATTCGTGCTCTTGCAGATATCAATACATGGCTCCTGATTGAAGCAGCGGGTCTCAGGCTGTTGCACCTTCTGGTTTTATTTTGTCCTGACACAAAGAGGTAAAATGAGTTTTTCCAAAAGCTGTTGCTGTTGCATCATAATGGAGTACAAAATATTTCATTTTACCTAGTCACAATCCTGGAGTACAAAATCCCTGGCATACATTATACCAGGAACCGTCAAGTTTTCCAATACTGATTAATTGGGATACATCGTACCTTGTGGGTACATATGTGACCCGAGGCTTGTTGGTATTTCTTCATGGCAGGTCAGTTATGCCCGCTACCTGAGGTGACATGTGAGACAAATGAGGCACCTTCCCCAGCGTGCCAGGGAGGAGCTGCTAGTGAGCGCGCACGATGGTGACGCTGGACAGCGAGACCGCAGTGCCAGATCAGATGCTGGTTGACCTCGGTCAGCTGCTGTACAGCGTCGTTAAGCCAGTTTCTGGGATCAAAGAAAGCCTAGTCGAAAGTTTAGAGACTCAGCTGGCCCACTACACTCCAGCCCCACTCCGCGAAGAAGCTTCCCGTGCCCCCTCCCCCCACCCCCCCCCCCCTCCTTCCCACCGAAGAGAAGCTAGAAATACTGCCAACTTCTGTTGGAGCGCCGAAGTCTCCACCATCATACCGGGCGTCTCAACAGCAACAATTACTCCCGAAATGCTCCTGAATTTAGTGACCTGCAGCTGCACCGCTGAAAGCATGACATGCAGTGCTGCACGCTGCAGCTGTAACAGTCACAGTGCAGGCTTTTGGTGTACACACTACTGCAAGCGTTATGGAAAAAATGCTAAAAGCCGTTGCACCGGTCAGCAGATGGACATTGAAGGCAACGAACGGGAGCTAAGTGTACAACAGACTCTGAAAAAAGCAGAGGAATGTGACGGGTGCTGGCCGGTATTGCTGTGCTCAGGGTCTCTAAATGTCGCGACACGTCAAACGTCTCCTCTGAATTTGGTATTTCACCTCTGGCTTGGCTTTAAAGTGGACATGGTAGCCCCAAAATAAGCCTAGAAATGAACTCGGCAACCATGATAAGCTTGTTAATGAGATATTACACGACCCTCTATGCCATCCAGATCAGAATAAGAAAATTTGTTAGCATTCCATGTTGGCGGCCATCTTGAATTCTGAGAAACACTCGAGGTTGCACAAATCGCAGCTAAGCTAATTGGACTTTTCTTAATATTCAACCTGTCAACCATTTTTCCGTGAAAACGTTTGCGGTAGGTAAGACTGCAGGGTCAACAGTTTGACAACTTAACCGGATCAGTTCGCAGCATAGGCAAACATCAGGTGTTAATGTCATATATTCATTGACACGACAGCGCTTTGTTCGTCGGCCCGTCCGGAATATCGCCCAGGACAACACAATAGACGGGAGCCTATCAGTGCACGGTGTGTGCTGCGGCTGCTCCATATCAACAGGCTAACTCCGGTGGTTAAACAAAGCTCGAGGCACTTGCTGACTGTCCCACCGATGAGGCGGTCCAACGACGGACGGCACAAGAGTGAGTGATGCTGCGCGGGCAGCACACCCCTGACGGCCACGTGCCGCCCGCGATCTGACGTGTCAACTCCGCCGTCGGAACATAGCCGCTGCGGAGCCGAGCGAGCGGGCCAGCCGGCGCCGCGGCCGACATCGCGCCCGCGCGACTAGTGTGCCAAGCTCGAGTACATGGTTCGACCGAGAGGCGGCGCCGGCGGCGCGGTCAGTCCAGGTGCTTGAGGTTGTTGCAGTTGTCCGTGTGGCCGTTCGCCTCGGCGCGGTGAGAGGGCAGACGGCGCACGGTGAAGCCCATCGGGCCAAAGCACGCCTCGCTCTTCTGATGCCGAATGTTGCAGCGCGCCTTCAGGCTGCAGACAGACAAGTGGCTCCAGTCAGGCGCGCAGCCTCGTTGGCACGGTACTCAGCGTAAGTGAGCCCAACTGGCGGCCCGCCCGGCCAGGGTCAGCCGACGGCCGCCGTCACCCTCAGCCATGATCGTCTCTTTGAAACTCCAGCGGCTGCCATTCTGCAGCGCTCTCATTCTACCGAAATGGAGGCTGCCGCGGCTGAGCGGTTGCCGCGCTGCACACCAATGACCGCGGCAGACTGGACGGCAGGCCGGCTCACACGGCACACGCGACACCCCCCCTCACACCACTGGCGGCGGTTGGGTCAGCGTCGCGGTGAACGGGCGAGGTTGCGCCGGAGCTGCTCCGCGCCGGCATGCGGACACAGCTGATATGCTCACCAGCGATGTGGCATGGGGAAAGCAGGAAACTAATCCTCGTTTGAGTTGAGCTCTCCCTCGACATAACAGTACGGTTAACACTAACATTCGTGGAACGCGTGGGCCATGGCTCCGCTCCTCTCCCGCTCCCCAGCATGTGCAGTATTAAGGTCCAGCTGCCGTATTCATCAACACAATGGGACATGACTAGCATACTCACCCGTACAGCGCTTGGCTGTATCTGACGTACACGAAACGAATATACGAATACACGTACAAATTCACGAAACGCACGGGCCATGGCTCCGCCCCTTTTCCGCTCCCATGCATGTGCAGTATGAAGACCTAGCCGGCGTACTCATCAACAAAAATGGGACATAACTAGCATATTTACTCGTACATCACGTGACTTTACCTGACGTACCCCATGTGGGGCGTGGATGTAGCTGACCTACTGCCGGCGCAATGCGCGGACGAAGCTGGTGCGCTCACCATAGCGGTATGTGGCATTGCTCATCTTCTCACCAGCACAGCACAGCACGCTGAAGTAGCTGGCGTACTAAGCAGTACAAAATGCGGCTGTAGCTGTCGTACTCACTAGCATAACGCATGTATGTGGCCGGTTCACTCACCAGTGCAGTCGGTGGGTGCGCCCAGCCTGCTCACCGGCAGTGTGTGAGGTGCCGCTGGCGCGCCACGCACTCACCAGTACAGTATGTGGATATAGCTGGCGTAGCCGGCGAACACATGCCACCACGCGTGCAGCTGGGTGAAGGGTCGCAGCACGGGCGGCAGCACCGAGCGCAGCCACCTGGCGGTCGCGGCGCACGTCGTTAGGTCAGCATGACACCGAGCGAAGCGCGCCGGTCGGCGGCAGCGGCGGCGGCCCCGCTGGACGGCAATGAGCCGGCGTCGCGGCTGGCCCGTCGAAACCAGGTGGCGACCAAAGGCCCAAACCGGGCGCGACTTTCATTAGGGCCAATTGGTCGGGCTCGGCTGTCACCGCGCTGCGAATCGATGGCGGCCGGTGCGGCCGAGCGGCGCCGTCGCCGCCGACGCGGGCGTGGTCGGGCCGAGGGCGTGGCCGGCGGAGCTGGCGGCCAGGCGCGGCCGGTGCCCCGGCCTGTCGCCACACAATCGCCCCCGCACCCCAGCAGAGGCCGGGTGACCGCACCCGCTGCCGCTGCACACCGCTGTGTGATCGGTAACATACCAGGCCAGCCGTCACGCCGAGCAGTAATATACCGGTGCCAGCTGTCACGCCAAGCAATGACATACTGATGCCAGCCGTCACGCCAAGCAGTGACATACCGGTGCCCGCTGTCACGCCGAGCAATGACATACCGGTGCCCCCTGTCACGCCCAGCAGTGACATACCGGTGCCAGCTGTCACGCCAAGCAATGACATACTGATGCCAGCCGTCACGCCAAGCAGTGACATACCGGTGCCAGCTGTCACGCCAAGCAATGACATACTGATGCCAGCCGTCACGCCAAGCAGTGACATACCGGTGCCAGCTGTCACGCCGAGCAATGACATACTGATGCCAGCCGTCACGCCGAGCAGTGACATACCGGTGCCCGCTGTCACGCCGAGCAATGACATACCGGTGCCCCCTGTCACGCCCAGCAGTGACATACCGGTGCCAGCTGTCACGCCGAGCAGTGACATACTGATGCCAGCCGTCACGCCAAGCAGTGACATACCGGTGCCAGCTGTCACGCCAAGCAATGACATACTGATGCCAGCCGTCACGCCAAGCAGTGACATACCGGTGCCAGCTGTCACGCCGAGCAATGACATACTGATGCCAGCCGTCACGCCGAGCAGTGACATACCGGTGCCCGCTGTCACGCCAAGCAATGACATACTGATGCCAGCCGTCACGCCAAGCAGTGACATACCGGTGCCAGCTGTCACGCCGAGCAATGACATACTGATGCCAGCCGTCACGCCGAGCAGTGACATACCGGTGCCCGCTGTCACGCCGAGCAATGACATACCGGTGCCCCCTGTCACGCCCAGCAGTGACATACCGGTGCCAGCTGTCACGCCGAGCAATGACATACTGATGCCAGCCGTCACGCCAAGCAGTGACATACCGGTGCCAGCTGTCACGCCGAGCAATGACATACTGATGCCAGCCGTCACGCCGAGCAGTGACATACCGGTGCCAGCTGTCACGCCAAGCAATGACATACTGATGCCAGCCGTCACGCCAAGCAGTGACATACCGGTGCCAGCTGTCACGCCAAGCATTGACATACTGATGCCAGCCGTCACGCCAAGCAGTGACATACCGGTGCCAGCCGTCACGCCGAGCAGTAATTTACCGGTGCCAGCCGTCACGCCGAGCAATGACATACCAGTGCCCCCTGTCACGCCCAGCAGTGACATACCGGTGCCAGCTGTCACGCCGAGCAGTGACATACTGATGCCAGCCGTCACGCCGAGCAGTGACATACCGGTGCCCGCTGTCACGCCGAGCAATGACATACCAGTGCCCCCTGTCACGCCCAGCAGTGACATACCGGTGCCAGCTGTCACGCCGAGCAGTGACATACTGATGCCAGCCGTCACGCCAAGCAGTGACATACCGGTGCCAGCTGTCACGCCAAGCAATGACATACTGGATGCCAGCCCCGTCACCCAAGCAGTGACATACCCTGTGCCAGCCGTCACGCCAAGCAGTGACATACTGATGCCAGCCCGTCACGCCGAGCAGTGACATACCGGTGCCAGCTGTCACGCCAAGCAATGACATACTGATGCCCAGCCGTCACGCCAAGCAGTGACATACCGGTGCCAGCTGTCACGCCAAGCATTGACATACTGATGCGCAGCCGTCACGCCAAGCAGTGACATACCGGTGCCAGCCGTCACGCCGAGCAGTAATTTACCGGTGCCAGCCGTCACGCCGAGCAATGACATACCAGTGCCCCCTGTCACGCCCAGCAGTGACATACCGGTGCCAGCTGTCACGCCGAGCAGTGACATACTGATGCCAGCCGTCACGCC